GCCTTAGGTACATGTCAATGTCGTTGCCGGGTTGCTTAGGGCCTTGGATGAGAACTGGCATCATAATGAACTTCCGCTTCATGCACATCCAAGGAGGAAGGTTATACATACATAGAGTCACGGGCCAGGTGCTGTGATTGCTGCTCTGCTTCCTGAAAGGATCAATGCCATCCGCGCTTAAAGCAAACCATATGTTCCTTGGGTCACTTGCAAACTCATTCCAGTACTTTCTCTCGATTTTTTGCCATAGCGACCCGTCAGCGGGTGCTCTCAGCTTCTCGTCTTTCTTACGGTCCTCACTGTGCCAACGCATCAACTTGGCATGCTCTCCGTTTTTGAACAGACGTTTCAACCGTGGTATTATAGGAGCATACCACATCACCTTCGCAGGAACCCTCTTCCTGGGGGGCTCGCCGTCAACATCACCAGGGTCATCTCGTCTGATCTTATACCGTAATGCACCGCATACCGGGCATGCGTTCAGATCCTTGTACGCACCGCGGTAGAGGATGCAGTCATTAGGGCATGCATGTATCTTCTGCACCTCCAATCCTAGAGGGCATACGACCTTCTTTGTTGCGTATGTACTGTCGGGCAATTCGTTATCCTTTGGAAGCTTCTTCTTCAATATTTTTAGTAGCTTCTTAAATCCTTTGTCAGGCACAGCATTCTCTGCCTTCCACTGCAGCAATTCCAGTACGGTACCGAGCTTTGTGTTGCCATCTTCGCAATTGGGGTACAACCCTTTTTTGTGATCCTCTAACATGCGATCGAACTTCAGCTTCTCCTTTTGACTTTCGCATTGCGTCCTTGCATCGACAATGACCCGGCGGAGATCATCATCATCGGGCACATCGTCTGGTTCCTCTTGATCTTCAGCAGCTTCGTCCGTTGCAGCATCATCGTGCACATCGTCTGGTTCCTCTTGATGTTCAGTAGCATCACCGTATTTAGGGGGCACATAGTTGTCATCGTACTCTTCTTCTTCGCCGTCTTCCATCATAACTCCTATTTCTACGTGCCTCGTCCAAACATTATAGTGTGACATGAAACCCTTGTAAAGCAGGTGGGTGTGAAGGATTTTCCGGTCAGAGTAAGACTTCGTATTCCCACATATAGGGCATGGACAACACATAAAACTATTCTGCTTGTTTGCCTCAGCCACTTCGAGAAAATCATGCACGCCCTTAATGTACTCGGAGGTGTGTCTGTCACCGTACATCCATTGCCGGTTCATCTACGTGCATTATATATAATTAAGTGTGTCAAAAATCATTACAGAACATCATGAATAGATAATTAAGTGACCAAATTAATAGAAGTTCGTCATCACATTAAAACCAAAGTACATACATAGTTCTCATCTAACAACATAAAGCTCTGCAGAGCATCTAAATTAATTAAACCATACATTGAAACTATGTAAAACATTTCAATGAAAAAACAAATATGATCATAATCGCAACCAAGGTAACAACTGATCCAACGGCATAATGATACCAAGCCTCGGTATGAATGGCATATTTTCTAATCTTTCTAATCTTCAAGTGCATTGCATCCATCTTGATCTTGTGATCATCGACGACATCTGCAACATGCAACTCCAATATCATCTTCTCCTCCTCAATTTTTCTTATTTTTTCCTTCAAGAAATTGTTTTCTTCTTCAACTATATTTAACCTCTCGACAATAGGGTCAGTTGGAATTTCCGGTTCAACAACCTCCTAGATAAGTAAAATCTATGTCGCATTGGTCGGCATAATTGTCATAAACAATAAATTAACCAATAGTTATGAAAAGATAATATATATCACATCCGAATCATAGACAGGACAAGGGCCGACGGGGGCGGATACCAAAACCATCACACTATAAAAGATGCAATAATAAAAGTAAGGAAATAATACAAGTATCTATCTAAACTTACAAGTAAGAATATTTTTCCTTTCAGAAAGAAGATAAGAACAAGAGGCTCACCACGGTGGTGCCGGCGATGAGATCGGCGCGAGTGATCGACGGCGGTGAAGACGGGGACGGGGTGTGACGGACCGCTAAACCTAGACAAATATTGAGGAAAATGGAGCTTGGAGGTCGAGCTTGGAGAGGAGAATGCTTAAGTAGTGTGGCTCGGGCATTCCATCGGACTCCTTGTGTGCATAGGAGGTGAGCTAGAGCACCACCAAGCCCTCTCCCCCTCGGCGGCCAGAAAAAACAGAGAGCAGTTTGCTCTGCTCTTAAGCGAGGGGGTATATATAGGCACCTAATTCGTCCCGGTTGGTGGCATGAACCGAGACTAAAGGGCAGCCTTTGGTCCCGGTTCAAGCCACCAACCGGGACCAATGGTGGTGGGCCAGGAGCGAGGCCCATTGGTCCCGGTTCGTCCCACCAACCGGAACCAAAAGGTCCAGACGAACCGGGACCAATGGCCCACGTGGCCCGGCCGGCCCCCGGGGCTCACGAACCGGGTCCAATGCCACCGTGGGTCCCAGTTCTGGACTGAACCGGCCTGGACCTTTGCCCCCTTTTCTACTAGTGCTAATCTCCTCCTGCTGAATCGTGAGTGGATGCAACGGCTGCATGTGTGTAGATGGTAGACCTGAACATCGAACTCGATGAACACGAGCTTGGCGGCAGGGCGGGAGGAGAGCCGAAGAGATGCAGTGGGGGCTAGTGACGACCGTGAAATAGGAGGAGGCGAGGTCGTGGGGCAGCCTAATATGAAATTACCAAGCTGCCCACAATCTAAATTCAGCGTTGAACCATATTAACCATTGGATCTGCTTAATACTACACCTTAAATTTGGTAGTATGATGCACCGTAAAAAATCTCGAAGGCTTTTGTTAACACAACAATAGTTTTATCCTCGGTGGCCCTGCTGAAGCTCCGTCACTGCCAATGGGCTCTGAAATTGTTCAACTGGAAATTGCCTGGATAATTCGTCTCGAATATGAGTCAAAGAAGATACTGTGAAGAGTCGTGTGCGAGTCTCTGGGAATCATGGTGGTTTATGATCAAGATGTATAACTATCACTGCTTTAGTCCGGTCCACCAACCCCGTTGTGGTGTGAACTTTGGGTGACCTCAGCCTGCAACTCTGGCCCCGCCTTGCCGCCCTCACCCCGCCCTCGCCACCGGACGGTGTCGCCTGAGGCTGTCCCATCCGTCCCCGCAACTCGCTAGTGAGTTTCTGGACCTCCTCATCTCTATGTCTCTCTATTCTTCTCTGTATAATGGATGGATAAATGGTACATGCATGTGTTGTTAATGGATAGATGGATGAATGCTGCCAAAGATTTGCTAGATGGATGGATGAATGGTGCTTATGTTTTTTTGCTACTTTCTAGTAGCTTGCTAGCATGGATTGATGAATGGTGCATTTTTTTGCTACTGTCATTGGTAGTAGGCTTGTTTTTTTTTTGCGGGAATTGGTAGTAGGCTTGTTGGATAGTGAATGGTGCATATGTTGATGTTTTTTTGCTAGTAGCTTGCTGGCTGGATGAATGGTGCATAACCCTACTTTTTTTTGCTACTGTCAATGGTAGTAGCTTGCAAGATGGATGGCTCAATGGTGCATATGTTGAATTTTTTTGCTACTAGCTTGCTGGATGGATGAATGGTGCATATGTTTGGTTCCCTTCTACTGCTGCTTGGTAAATAGCTGGATCTATGTATGTGCTAATGGATAGATGTTGTAGATGGAGAAAGTGGAGAAAGCCAATGGTATAGGAGACGTGCTCTTACATACATGCCATGTGATGTTTTACCGTGTCCCGCTGCTCTTAGGGCATTTCTAACTGATCCCCTAAAAGTTAGTGGAGTATCCGGCGGAGTAATGTTAGTGGAGTAAAACTAAAATTGTGTAGATTTTGTATCATAGCCGCACGAACTTCAAACACTACACAATACATATCTTAAAAACATTCAAATTGGAACATGCATAGCATAACCGTCGTAACATAAAGATTCATCATCCTCGACCACCACCTCCTCGGCCTCCACCTCTTCCCCGGTCACCTCTTGCTCCATGTCTTGGGTGGCCTCCCAAAACGAGTCGTAGTTGAGCTCATCAAGTCCAACAGCTGCCGAGATCTCCAAGAAGGCAAGGAATTCGACCGTGTTCATCTCCGCACTACAATAAACAAAGCAAACACTACCAGCAATCACTACCGGCCACCAACAATCACTATTGGATACCAACAACATGCGATGTTTTTGTTTTTATCTTGTAGGCATTTCACCGAGCACTTGGCTGTCGTGATGCTTGTTGCCGGCTGCGGTCGCCTCCTGCGCCGAAGCAGTGGCAGTAGGGGGGGGGGGCACCAGAGTAGCTGCACGAGGCGCCACGTTGGCCTTCCTCATCTTCTTCTTCGTGGCGCCGCCGCCGCTGCCGTAGGCTTTCGAGCTCGTTTGGCTCCGGAGGGTGCGGCGGGAGGGCGGTGGGCCATTGCCGGAGAGGCGGTCACCACCAGGCCATTGGGGGCAGTGGGAGGAGGAGCTTGGACGTGGTGGGTTTTTTCATCCCCAAATTCTTCTATTTTCAAGTGAGAGCCATTAATGTTTATGACCGATGCTTGCAGCCAAGTGATAAACCGCACCCCTGTCAAAAGGCTAGAATTCTGGAAGATTCTTCTAATTTGTATATGTTTCTTTTTTTAGTGGTTCTATTTGTAGATATTTCTTCTTAGTTGTAAATGTTGTTTCGGAACTTTACTCAATGTTTGGCAACTCAAAATGGAACTTCGTATACTTTTTTTACTTACTACGCAAAGAAATACGTGTAACTCTTAGTAGTAAAAAAGAAGTGTCGAGGACACGTACGTATAGTGTTTAAAAAAGAGTGGACACGTACGTATATCAGGTGATGTTTTACGGCGGGCCTTGTTGTGTTCGTGTCCATCTAGGTTTCCTTCTACGATTGGAATCCCTGGTCAATGCTGATATATACCTAGTGTGCACGATGTGTTCGCCTCCCAACGAAAGCGATCGAACATAGAGCCAGATGGAGCAGGCGGACCACGGCGACCTGGCGGCGCTCCTGCCGGAGGCCGTGCTCGCCGACGTGCTGCGTCGCGTGGAGGCACCGCGCTGGCTAGCAGTGTCACGCTGCGTCTGCAAGGCGTGGCGAGCCATCATCGATGGTGAGAACCTCCTGCGTACAGATCTCCCGCTTAGCGGGTTCTTCATCACCTTCAAGGAGCTCTGTTTGCCCGAGTTCTTCTCCCGCCCCTTGTCGCCGTTTGGTCGGCCAGCAATCAGCGGCAAGCTCGATTTCCTACCCACAGCCATTAAAGTTCATCCTGATGGGTGGAGCTTGGACGGCGACTACTACATCCAGGATCACTGCAATGGGCTCCTATTGCTCGACGGCTACGTGGTTAACCCGGCCACACGCCGCTGGAAATCTCTGCCCTCATGCACGCGCAGTCATACTACAGCCGGGGGAATCCTCCGTGGTATTTTCTCCGATCATTACTATCTGGCCTTTGATCCCACGGTGTCATCCCACTACCAGGTGTTTCAGATTCCTTATTTGCGTTGGGCGGGAGGTGAGTTTGACCCTTTAGAGGAGGCATCCGAATGGCCTCCATCTCCATATATCTTGCGTGTATTCTCTTCTAGGAGAGGACGTTGGGAGGAGAGGTTGTTTGTTCGTGAAGGGGATGCCGCAGGAACCCTTGCAAAGGCGCGTGTGTTTGGTATCCGACTCCGCTCCGTCTATTGGCGCGGATCCCTTTACGTGCATTGTCAAAGTGATTTTATTATGAGGTACATACCTAGACCAGTTCATTAATATCTTGATTTTAGTGTTCAGTTTTGCCCTAATGAAGGCATTATCCACACCTGTATCTCAAAAATTTCTTGCCAATGATCTGATTTTGCAGAATATCTTTGTCTGAAGATAAGTACAATGTGATTAAGCCACCAATGAGTGTTGGACTTTCCAATTATATAGGATTATCAGAGAAAGGAGTGTACCACGCGTCATTTGTTAAGAATCACATTCGCATCTGTATACTGAATGAATCATGCGATAAGTCAGAGTGGATATTAAAGCACGACTATGACCTTATTAAGCCAATGGAAGTGTTTGATCATCAAGTTCATGGACCATGGATCTTAGAAGACATTAACTATGGAATCTTTCGTTCTCATCTCCCAAGTATCAACAAGGAAGAAGTAATTCAAGAGAAATTTGAATGGAACTCCGACGACGATGATTTCTGTGAGAATGTAGACATGGTTGAAGTGCACCATCGCCGTCCATATTTTGAGATCGAGATACTTGGATTTCACCCATACAAAGAGATTCTCTTTTTTAGTAGGTCAGAGACCTATAAATTAAATGCAATGGCGTTTGCCTATCATTTGAATAGCTTCAAGGTTGAAAGTTTAGGTAGCATATACCCAACAGGTCACCAATATTTCGACTCTGGCCTTCCTAATGAAAATCGGGAGATTAAATCTTTTCCATACACGCCATGTTGTTGGATCGAAGAGACCCCATAAAGAGTGAATTAATCTGTAGTAGCTCGTTTCAAACATGATCATATATATGCTGTTTTGTTTGGATTTTTTTTGTTTTAACTTGTGCAACAAATTATTCTTTTACTATCATTGCTACTGATCAATTCAACCGGGCGGCATGACCCAAGATGGATCGTTTTTTCATGTTTGTGGCTAGCAACATCTCCCAATTACATGCATGTGCGTGCTTGGGAGGGTGCGCTCCAGCCGGTCCTCATTGTAGTGTCTGTCGACGCCTAGCACAAGGCACTGACAGGATACGTAAGATTGGCATTGGCTCAAGGATGGGCTGGTGGTTAGTCGACGGCAGTAGCGGCAATAACAACGAGCGACCGGTTGAGGAGGTGCCGCCATGTAGTGAGATGGTGATGTACGGCATGGCCCATCTTGGTGCCGTTGTCACCACCACATCTCTGGCTTTCGAGCATGGGCGCGGGATGAAGCTGCTATGATATTCGACTCATCTGTGAGTTTTGGCGGCTTTCGCTCCATCCAGTTTGCCTTCGGCAGCGAGATATAATTTATAAACGGTGATTTGATGCAAAGGGTATGGTTGTGTAGTGGTGGCGACGATTTCTATCTGACCAAATGTAGCTATTGGGATCGTGAAAAAGTGGTGGCAATAACACATGATTGATTTTAATTTGGTTGTGCTTTTCAGTACCTGGTTTCGAACTCGTGGGGTGAAAACCCTAGGTCAGACCCATGTGGGTTATACCTGGCAATAGCAATTTTTTTATGTCATTACCTTGCTGAAGGCGTATGCTTGGACTTGTTCTTCAGGATGAAAACCTTGAATCCAGACTCTGGCGGTTGGCTCCGATGACGACGATGCTTGTACGTTGTTTCTTTCTTGAAGATGTTGCTGTTGAAGAACATCGTTGTTCTGAGTCAATAAAGTACACCCTTTGTCGAAGAACCATTGCTACTGACCTGTGTTTTGCTATCAATTAGGTTGCCACATTCTCCGTATGAATCACACAAGTGGATTTGGATCTTGTGCATCCAGCCAGCTTATGAGAGATAACACTAACGTATGTAAGAACGTGTTTTGCACTAGTATAGTGTAAAAAACGCTTTTATAATGTAAAAAACGCTATTATATTACGAGACGGAGGGAGTAGTCTCGAAGCACGATGATTTGCAGATTTTACTTGCCGCTGTATCTACAAGATGGTTTGCAGGCTCATGTGTGCGGCGATTATTCAACATCGCATCTGATCAGCGGGAGCAACAAAGCAAATACATATTGCTGACTGCATTTTTAGCACTTAATTCCTTCTATTTGCTCCAGCTCTTTCTTTTTACGGGAAAAAAATTCCAATCTATTCATCTTCATAATGATAGTATAACAGCAACATAAATAATAAAAATTACACATCCAGATCCATAAACCACCTAGCAACGACTACAAACAATGAACTTCTCATCAACCTGTAAAGATTTTGTTGTGATGGTAGATAGGTGCACTGCACAGAGATGGGACATACACGGTAGTCATTTTTCTAGCACAAATTTAGAAGCTTAACTGCACAGTTAATATTCCATTAACCTCTTATGTTGTTAGAAATAGGCACACTGGTTGGTCCCTTTGTTGGTCCACCTGTCAGAGAGACTGC